TGAAAGAAGCCTTCACAAAGTCAGAAATAAACCAGAAAATAAGGCTTGGTGCATTTCAGTATGCCCCATCTCTTACTGGGCTCTCACTTGAGAGAGAGATCGTGCCGCTTGCTGGCATTTATTCAAAGACGGAAAGTTCTGTATTTCCTGCACATTGCAAAACTGTCACTATCAACAGTGATAAACACCAAATAACATACAATATTACGCATGTAGCTTGTCCCTGTTTGCCTACATTCATATTTCAATAAAGATAACAACAGCAGTCAGGAGTCCAACACTTCAACAGAAATGCAGTCCCAAATAATGACTTTCTGAGCAGTCTGTACTTGGTTCAATCACACAGATCCAACCACACATGCCTCCCAGATCCACCTCCTCTCTCTAAACCATATTATGACATCAAAACAAGTACAGATCAGTTTTTTAGAACCTCTTAAGAAATCTTAAAATTGCAGTAGGTAGTCTGCCAGGCAGTAAATACAACAGAGTAAGGACGCAACATTACAGATGGACAAAAAAAAGCAACACATTTGTTGTATAAATGGCTGCAGCATCTGAAGGCCTGAAGCACAACTGTAAAATATTTACAGATTCTAATAATGGAAAAGGATTGCGAATCAGCAAGGTTAGCACCAGGTGTCTCATTTAGTCCTTTCTTGCAGATCGAAAACCAACCTGAGGCACACATCTGGCAAGGCCTTGCAACACCAATGGCCAAACAATCACAGAGAAACACTGCAGCCTTCAGTGGCTAGGAAAGTTCTAGGTGCTCTCAATGAATCAGATCTGGATCGGTTTCTTGCAATCTCTCCCCCAATCTAAGCCATCCTACTCATTTTAGAAAGGGCAGCCTCATGGAGGTCAAGATTTCACCATGACCAGCTAAATAATAAACCAGCTGAAAAGATTCCAGCAACCCTGCGAGTCAGGAAAGGAAGGATCAGTGAATCTAATTGTCAGTCGCCATATCCAGGCTACTCTTAGCTCCTTGTTTTCATGTTCTTTTTCTCTCTCTTTTGCTATTTTTCAGTCTCCTATTTTATAGGCTTGTTCATACTTAATTACCAAGGAGGCTCTGAGCTGCTACACTGCTTGATGTTCTTGTCTGAATGGTCACAGAGCAAGGCATCATAAAACACCTGGTGCCTGGTGCAGAAAGGGGTGTTCAGCTCCGACCTTCTAACCTGCTAACACAAACACTTAACTCCTGCGCACAACCGGACTGGCCATGCTTCCACCAACAGTCTGAAGGCTGTTTACAAACAATGGCCCCTTTACAAGGCATGTCCTTCCTCCTCCCCCTCCTTACAATGCAAATGCCTACTTTCAGCTACAACGCATTGCAGCTCGTTGGTTATTACACCAAGAGGAGCGTCAAGCTCGGGCCCTGACCGTGCCTACAGGCTTCTCACCCGCTCCAAAACCACTTCTAAGCTCAAGGACCGCCTCGCAGGGTCTCTGCGTCATTAGCATAGCCTGAGGAAGGGGGACAAACGGAACCCCAGCAACCGGGGCACGGGAAGTGAACAGTCCCAGGGGGGTCCCAACCGCAGCGAGTACCGCAAACTCGGCCGGAAACACTCGAGGAGAGAAGGAAGGGGCTCCCGACCCCCGGGGGCCGCCCAGGGACAGAGCCCTTCAGCTCCAACCACCCGCCGCGCCCCAGAGCCGCCGGCTTCCCCGGGCGCCGGCTGCGGCCGCATCCCGCCCTGCCCCCGCGCCAGGCGGGCGGTACCTTGGGGGGCCGGATCTTGCAGATGCCGGTTTTCTCGGCCAAGCCGCGGATGCGGCCGATGAAACCGAGCGGGTCGCTGAACTCCTCCCAGCTGGGCTCAAATACGGGGCACTCGGGCGGGGGCACGAACTCGGCCGCGTAGCGCGACCCGCCGCCCCCCGCCATGGCCGAAGGGGGGAAGGCGCTGCCAACAGCGGGGCGCGGGAGGGGGGCGGGGAGCGCACCGAGGCACGGGCACAGAGGGGCGGCCCTCAGGGGCGGCCGGTGGGGCAGGGCAGGCGGCCGAGGCGCATCCTCAGGCGGCCGGAGCAAGGCAGAGGCAGGGCCGGGCAGGGCAGGGCAGGCCGGGGCGGGGCAGGGGGGGCGGCGCGGCCTGCTGGCACGCGGGGCGGCTCCTGCCGGGTGTCGTCGCCCCGTCCCCCGGGGCTACCTCCCCCCGCGCCGAGCCCCTCTGGCTCGCGTTCCAGCTCGTCCGGAAGTTACGCGGTCTCTTTCAGCCCTCCCCCGGAAGCGGGAGCAGTTGTTGTCTTCCGACCCGAAAAATAGTCCCTCCGCCGCACTAGTCTCCTGGCGGCCACCAGCACTGTGGGAACGGTCACCTGCCGTCCCCGCCCGCTCGCGGGGACGCTGCTCCGGAGGAACTAAGAAGGAAAGCGCTCGGCCCGACGCTTCTAGAGAAATCGTGCGACGCGGCGCCGGGGGCGGCCGGGGGAGGGGAACTGGGGTCGAGGGGGGAAGGGGCCCGCCTCCCCTTCCGGCGCGGAGGAATGTGCGACGATACTGAGACCATTCACTTCCGGTGCTGAAGGGCCGTTTCGCCCATTGTCTGAGCCGGACGTCAGGAGGAAGGCTGGGAGCCCCGCCCCCTTGCAGGCCTGGCCCCATGCGGCCGTTGGGCCCTCTGGGGTGGGGGGAGGGGCGGACCACTTCCCTTCAGGTAGCGTCGTGCTATGCTCAGTTTGGGACCCGTGTGTTAGTTTTTGTCCATAGCCATTACAACATGCTCTTTTTTAGGTTTATTCTTTTTTTTTTTTTTTTTTTTCCTGTTTATTCTCGTTGTTTAACACTCAGTCACCGTACCATTTCAGCCCCAGAGAAAGTAATTTCCTCCTACTCCCTCCAGGCTCACCGTGCCTGCGTCAGACAAATGAACGCGCTTCCATTAGCATTTCCCTGCTAGATTGAGGAGGCGGTGCTCCCATTTTACAGACAGGAAAGAAATGGCTTGGAAGCAAACGGTCAATTTTGACAAAATTTATAAGAACAAACCGATCTTGTGAAACATCAGATGAGCCTGCCAGTGGATATTGTGCTGTGGCAATGTTTCACTACGTTTCTGCAGGGGGCTCTGGACATGGGTGACACATATTTTTATGACTTAAGAGCATGTGGAGTGCAGATGTTTGCCCACCAGCCACTAGAAATTGTGTTTCTGCATAACACTGGCATATTTTTTTTTTTCATAGTGTCTCTCTGAAGAGCAGTAGCAGGTTATTTTTGTATGGAGACTGTTCCCAACAACTGAATCGCCAACATACTCCCATTTCCAAGATAAGCAGTGACTCAGCCAGGAATACTGTGTGGAAAAAAAAACCTGCATGCTAAAAAGCTCCTAATCTGTATCAAAGTTTCATTGTAGGAACAGCCCATTGTTTTCCTTCCAGGCTGTTCAAAGTTCATTTCTGTGTTTTGGTGAGAGGATTTCAGCAGATACTGATAGGAAGAGTCCGGGAAGATTTGGGAAAAGTTTGTTTTTTATATCTTCATTTGTGATCTGGAAGAAGAGATAGAGTCCACTCCCCACAACTTTGCTAATGATATAAAGCTGAGAGAGGAGTGGCTGACAAAGCAGAATGCTTCAACAAGACCTGGACAGGCCGGAAAGTTGGGTATAGAGGAACCTGATGAGGTTCTACAAGTGCAGATGAAGAGTCTTGCACCTGGGGAGTTAATAACTGCATGCACCAGTACAGGTTAGGGGCTGAGCTCCTGACAGAGAAGCTCTGTGGAGGAGGACCTGGGTGTTCTGGTGGACAATGGGTTGACCATGAAGCAGCAGTGTACCCTTGTGGCCCACAAGGCCAGTGGAATCAAGGGATGCATTAAAAAGGGCATGGCCATCAGGTCGAGGGAGGTGATCCTCCCTTCTACTCTGCCCTGGTGGGGTCACATCTGAAGTATTGTGTTCAATTCTGGGCTCCCCAGTCTAAAAAAGATATGGAACATCTAGCAAGAGTCCCAAAGAGGGACACAGATTATGAGTGGTCTGGTATATCCCTTGTACAAGGAAAGGCTGAGAGACGTGGGAGTCTCCAGCCTGGAGAAAACTGAGAGATTATCTCATCACTGTTTATAAAAATATCTGAAGTGTGGGAATCAAATGGATGGAGCCAAACTCTTTTCAGTGGTGTGCAGCAACAGAACAAGGTGCACAAGCTGGAACACAGGAAGTGCCAAAATAATGCAAGGAAGAATTTCTTTTCTGCAAGAGTGACAGAGCACTGGAACAGGCTGCTCAGAGAGGTTCTGGAGTCTCCTACTCTGGAGCTATTCAAGACCCATCTGGATGCATTCCTGTAGGGAACTTCCCTGTATGAGAGGAGACTTACACCTCTCATACAGAGTGTTCAACTGCTTTACATGAGGTGGGGAGCACAGCCTGTGCTAGCCTTCCTTCAGAGAATTATCCACTGCCATCTTGCTGTCTTCTGAGTTTATGAAGAACTTCGTAGCTTTGGAAGTTAGTCTAGGTTTATTTTCTAGCACATGTGGTACCTATATTAGGAAGTGCTGCATTGCATCAACGATAAGAAGTGCTGCTGGGTATGGGAAGATACATGGGGGAAGGCAGAGGATGAAAAGCACCTAGATGATGCAAAATTGTACATTTGAATACTCAGGTGTTACTTGAAACAGTGAATCTTGTGACTGATTCCTGACTCCTGTGTGTCATTCTGTTTACTATTTCCATAGGAGAACAGCATGCTTTTGCCACTAGTGTTCATGAAGTAAGTTCTGGCAGCAGGCTGTCGTTGTTTCACCGGAACCCAAACCACAGCGCCCCAAACAAACAACTCAACTGGAGCTGCGCGCTCCACCCACCCCTGCAGGCCCCACCGCTCGCCGCGCATGCGCAGTGCTCCATTCCAAGACTACAACTCCCAGAGGCGCCAGCGCGGGACGCGTGCTGTCCGTGTCGCGAGTGCCGATTGGTAGAGAAGGCCCGATGCGCGTGGAAGGCTGCTCGTGATTGGCAGAGGCGGCGGGCGGCGGGTCTGTCCGCTGTTTGAGTGTGGGAGGGTAACAAGCGGCGGTCTCCATGAGCGCTACGGGAGGCTCGGTGGGACGCTCCGCGCGCTCCAGAAGGTAATGTGGGAGCTGTTGTTTCTGCAAGCGTGTTGTTAAACGTGGGAAAGTTCCTACAGGAAGTATATTTTTGCTAATGATTATTAGTGTGCTAGAGCGGCGGGAATTAATGACTTTGATTCGTATGAAGTTTTCGTGGATGTTGTGCATCTGAGTTCTGACCTAAGCAGCCCTGCAGGTCCCTGTGTCACCTGTGAGCAGAGCTCTGGCTCTGGTTTGGGCTTCTGCAGTGAGTTCTTACTAAGGTGAATAGATCTCTTCTAAAAAGATCTTAACTTTAATTCTGCTACAGATCACGTTATTAAAGAGTATTTGTCAGCTCAATGTAAGTAACTCTTACCAAGGATTGAGTGGTGTGTGCAGCTCTATGTATGCAAACGTGATACTTGTTGCAGCAGTTGAATGTCTGAATGCAGTAAATGCTGCTTAAAGCTAAATATGTGATTACACGTATGTATCCTTGATTAAATTTATGTAATAAATTTAAGAAATCATAGCTTTCCATTTCATTGTCAAGGGTGGACAAACTATGGGTATTACTCACAGTTAACACCAGAAAAAAAAACCCCATGTGGACTCCTCATCCTACATCCAAAGTTAGGATGGCTTGGGCATCAACTAACCTGAAATTGTCATCTTTACTGAAAAGTCAATGAAATCAAAAATGCTTCAGATAGTGTTTTTCTCTCCATATACCAGATAGAGACTATGAAAGGTTGTCTGTTTATCTTGTAGTGGTTGCTACCTGTAATTGCAAAACAAAAGACTTTGTTCTCCTTGATCTCTCCTCCTTTACTTACCACCTTCTCTTTCTTTTAAATTCACCTAAATGAGCCACAAGACTTCCCTTCCTTGACAATTTGTCCTTCTCCCTTTTCCATAAGCTTCCTCCATCTCCTGTGCCCGAAGTCTGCCCACTGTTCTTTAATAAATGATGCTTTTGGTTCTCTTAAGTACTGGTTTTTTTTTTTTCTGATGATTCTTGGAGTGCAGGCAAGCTAACATGTTTAAATTTTAGTAAGTTAAAAGCAAAAATCTCCTATTTTGCTTAAAAAATGAATTGTAGTCTGAAGTTTGCATGCTATTAGAAAAGGTATGGTTACTGTTGAGCACCTGGAGAAAGGACCCAGTGAGCCCTGGGAGCACAGGTGGAGGCAATTCACCTGTGTGACCAGAAGGGGTGGAGCCTGGCTGCGCCTCTCCTAGACCTCATTTAACAGCTGACTGTTACTGAGGAAGGATCTCTGATTAGAGTTCCTTCCCTTGTGGAGTTTTCCTTGTGAGCCTAGATCTTTGGAGACGAGCACGTTTTCCTTTATAACACCATTCCATTCACACTAGTCCTTTTGCTACTGCACTCCTGTATTGCCCTTCCACTGCATTGACCTTTCTGATTGTAACAGAAAATATTTATGCCTAGGCTGGCAACCCCCCACAGCTCATCCAGGTACTCTAGTTCTCAGCCTCAGAGTCAGGGGGACTCTACTCCTCTCCCTTCAATCAATGAACGCCTGGCCTTCCTCCGCCCTTCCCGGGAGCTGCTGGAATACTACCGCAAGAAGATTGCTGACTTTGATGAAGAGCATGAGGATTTGGTAAAAAGGCTGGAGAGATACAAAGAAACATACGATGAGCAGGTTAGGAGAAGAGCTTTATTTGATTAAAAAAAATAAATAAATCAGAAACTTGAAAATCTTTTCATCTGAGGAGAAGGGGCTTCCTCTTCTCTCATTCCTATTAAGGCATCTGTCTGTCGTTTTGTTTAACCCTCTGGGAATAGAATGGTCACTTCTGAGGGGACTATGGTGCCTCCCCAAGTACTGGTGATGTCTGAAATGGCCTGAAAGCCCTCAGACATCCCAACTAATTTAATATATAGGAAAAGAGAGGATGGGTTCTAAAATAGTGCCATCTGTCCAATGGGAATAGTCTTCTGAAGGGATTGCTAGTTTTCTGCTCTAGGCAGAAAATCATTAATGAAACTTTGTAACTGAACACTTTTTTCACTACTAAGTTATATAAAGCTTTTAATGCTTATCCTTCTGTAACTTCTTTAAAAGAAGTTTATTACACAGTCTTTGCTAAGATTTTTGCTAAGTTTTTCTGCTCATTGGTGCAAAAATGCAACCACTGGAAATGGGAGACCCTAACATAAGCCTTTTCACTGGCGTTGTAAGCTCCCTATTGAAACCTACTTACTAATTTCTCAGTACTACCTTCATCTGGTCAATTGTTGTAAGAGGAAAACACAATTCACTCAAACTGACAGTTTAACACACCACTTACAGACACAGGGTCTGGCCTATGTGGTGTGTTGTTTCTAATGTTGCCCAGTGCTCACTGAAAGTACCTCATTCTCTTAACCTAGCACAAACTGCAATGGGAAGTACGTCAGCGAGAAGAGGAGATTGCGGAGTTGCAAAAGGCTTTGAGTGACATGCAAATCTACCTGTTCCAGGAGAGGGAACATGTGCTCCGTCTTTACTCTGAGAACGACCGACTGAAAATCAGGTGCTATCTGGATATTGGGCTGGGGCACTGGCAGTAGAAACTGCAAGGATCCCATGAATCCTTCTAGTTCTCATCCAGATCTGGAGTATTCAGAGAAGCAGCAAAGCGACACTTCCCACAGTGGGAGTTTTCTGTTAAAGCTTTAAGAATTGAAGTAAAAAAAGAAAAAAAAAAAAAAAAAAAAAATCTGTGTTGGTATGCTTTGGCATCTCTTTGGAGCATGACAGAAATCTGACACAATCCTCAATCTAGTTTACTTTAAGAAAAAAAAAATGGGTAATACAATCCACTGAAGTATCTGCAAGGTTTTTATATACAGTTCATAACTGTAGAATGCAAATTCTTTACTACCATGAGTTATCAGGCTTGTATTTGAAAAGAAGAGCGCTCCTCAGTGCTGACAGAATTGGTGTTTTTTTTATTGTGCAACATCAGAGGTGTCTCAGGGAGCTTGTTAAAGTATTCTCAAGAACTTGACAGTTTGGAAATCTTGGAGATTTTGATGAGTAAGGTGGAAATATAGCGTGTCACAATGTATTGATCCATTTCTTTACATTGCAGGGAATTGGAGGATAGGAAAAAAATTCAACATCTCCTGGCTTTAGTGGGAACAGACGTAGGAGAAGTTACATATTTTCACAAGGAGCCACCACATAAGGCAAGTTCAATTTTTCTGTGGAGCTATTTTGCATTGTTACAAGAAGATGTGTACCTCAAAGGCTGACCACAGACCAAATCTATCCCCCGAGTCAAAAGATGCTAAATAAGCCCAAAAGAGGGAGGAATTTGTAGCTCTATAGCAGCATCAGGCTTTAGTATAGCTACTGACGGATAAGTAGGAACAAACACACCGGAGCTAGGTCCTGTTAGCATTCAGCCCCTTCTACCTTCAAATTATACCTCAAGATTAACCCCCTAAATGTCAGCTAGGAGTCTGAATCCATCTGGCAAGTGGTTATTGAGAAGCTGGAGAGAAGAGCACAAAGGCAGAAGGAAGTACAGAAAGTCAGTACATGTGATGCTCCAAGATATTTGATCTTCAGAACAGCACAGGTAGCATTTGGGACCTCCATGAAGGGTGCAGAAGTGTTAAGGTTGCTCTTGTGGTTTCCTGGGCAGGGGATTACGGAAGAACCTCCCTCTCTAGGCAATGTTGTATTGCATGTTACAGAAATAATGTCAAACTAATTATGTGGCAATGCATATGAAAAGCAGCGTAGCGGAACATACTTGCACTTTCTTGCCATACATGGCATGATTCAGATATACAGAGGATGATGGAATGTTAGGATTTCTCTTTGGGTAAGGTGAGGGGAATAAGGCTGGATCCCTGCATTCTTTGTGATTGCTCTGCATTGTTAAAGCAGTGGAAAAATCTTGCAGTGGCTTTAAAATTCCAAAATATGGATATCTCTAAAATTAGGCCTATTATATACATAGGTTGCTCTGAAAGTAATGCCTCCTATTTATTTCCATGGAAACTACAGCAGGTACAAAGAGTACAATAACACTCTTTGATGGAGCAGATTCTCAGCTACAAAACACTATTTTCAGCACAGTCACCACCGTTAGCTTTGCATTTTTACCAGTGATGAACAAAAGCCTGCATGTTGAACTTGGAAAAATCTGCACCAGTGAAGGTGACCCACTGTTTCACAGCTGCTACGACAGCATTGTTGCTAGGAAGGTGTTGCCCACACAGTCCATCCTTCATCTGCCTGAGAGATAAAAGTCAGAAGGTGCCATATTCCAACTATACAGTTGGTGCAGCAGGACAGTCCAGCCAAGATTGGCCATGTGATTCATGATCTTCAAACTGGTTTGGGGCCTGGCATTATTGTGTTTTAAGAGAAAGATTGTCTTCTCTGGCCTGACTCTGGAATTTCAAGCCTTCAACTTAGTGTTGTCTTGTAGGCATCAGAGTTGATGATTAAGGAAAGCCAGAAAGATCATCCTGTCCCAAAAGACACTGCAATCACTTTACCTGTTGAACTTTTTCTTTGATGGGGAATTCATGTTGCCGCTCTATGGATTGTCATTTTGACTCTAGCTCATAGTGGTGACTGTATGTCTTGTCACCAATAATGATGTCTTGTCACCTTCAGCCTCATTGGTTCAATAGGTCCAGACAAACTTGTGTGTCATGTTCTGTCTGTTCCCATGTGAGCATTCATGGGACCCTCCTGGCACAAACTTAGTGATTTTTCTGATCTTGCCAGCATCATCTCCAGTGCTTTGAAGCCAATATTCAGTTCCAACACAGTTATCTGGTTATCCAGTTAGCGTGGATGAGCTGATTGAAACACTTCATTCCATGGTGTGACAGCCACATGTAGCTGTCTGGAACATGACTTGTCTTTCATGGTGCTGTCACCAGTATTGTAACACCACCTACTGCCTCATTATGCTCACATCGACTGTTTGATCTCCCTTAACATTCAACAGACACTGATGAATGTCACCGTGTGCCATTTTCTCCACGTGGAGAAATTGAGTGACACACCTTTGCTTCACACGTACTTCTGTGTCAGACACCATTTTGCCAGGCTGTCCCTCTACTTCCATCTGTACAGCAACAAAATGTAACAGAATGTTGGGGGAAGGTTCAACCTCGACTGCCGCATTGCCAACATCTGCTTCTGATGTTGTGAACCAGCATATTAAAATAGAGGGCATTACTGTGGGAGCAGCCCTCATAATATCTGTGTTGAGGTAAACACTGGGGTTATAACCTGTCCCCTTTTGCCCTCCTATTTTTAAGTGGCCTTCTGTTCAACAGATGGTTTGCATTAATAGCTGTATGGGCTTTTATCCCAGGCTTGTTTAATAGCTTGAGTGAATGTGCTGATAAACGATTCTTCGTGTTTCTTTGGGCTGCTAAGAGGAGTATGAGCAAAGAAAATAACATAATTGTCATTATCACCTTCTTTATTCTCGTCTGCCTCCAAAATGTTCTTTTTCCTTCTGAAGATGCTGATTTTCATCCTAGTGAGCCAGCAAAAGCAGGATTACTTTCCAGTTGATTTGGAAAAAATAGAGGCTGAAATGGCAAAATTCTGCTGTTACAAAGGCAACTTCTTTTTACCACAGGCATTACACTTGTGAATGTCTTCCTTTTCTTGTGGTAGAGGTGAGGTATTGCTGTTGTCTTAGATATCTCAGTTCTCTCTTTAAGATTTATTCTTAGTCATGGCAAGTCAAGATGTTGAGCTATCTAATCTTGTTTCTATAGGTCACTGTTCTACAAAGGCCAGCTAGCTCCAGAGACTCACATGAAGGAAATGACAATTCTAGAACAGGTACCGTACCAAGATGACCTAACAGCAGCTCAGCAATTGATACTTGTTTCTCTGTGGTTTGTCCAATGTACAGAAATAATGACTTACTGTGAATACTTTGTTGTGCTTACATTAAATTTCCTAAATGTATCCATATGTGCATCCTTATGCATATTCTACTCTAAGCTTCACTTCAGAATCCTTTAAGATAAACTGAGCTGGCTCTCATGCTCATGATCTGGTCAGCTAAGGAAGAAGCTGGTATGACTGTGGAATGTCTGTTCAGGAACTGTGCAGGTAGCGACTGAGTAGCCCCCCATGTCCATTCCATGATGTGGTGCTCTGCTTGTACTTAATGTAGGTGGTAGTTTGGATCTGTGTCTACTTGCAGATTTTTCTATTTGGAAAGGACTGCCATTTTCAGATTGACTGAAATGAGCTAACAAGCTCAAAACTTGTTCAAGATTTGACAAACGTGCAGCTGTTTTTTATGCTTATTCATCATTTATTTAAGAGAATATGTTTGCTTTCTGTATATGTCAAGAAAATCAGTATGTTGCCTAAATATTTAAGTTTAATAGTATGGGGCAAAGAAATACAATCACTACAAGCTCTGGAATGGTTTTCTATCCAGTTATCTCTCCTGTAAGTCCTTAAAACTGTAGCAGTTGCATGCTTTTTCCTGTTCTTGGAAGCCATCTAGCACATACAGTATCTTGTGTTTGGAAAGGTGCTGCAGGTACGTTGGAGACAACTTTTCTACTTCTTGATTTCTGCAAACAGGCACCAAGAGGAGCACTTCAAAACAAGCAGGAAAAGGAGACATACATGAAAGTCCGGAGAGATATCAGAGGGACAACCAAACACTTCTACTTCAGGTAAAACTATTTGCTAAGTGAAGGACTTATTTTCTGCCTATTCAGGAAATTGATGGATAAATATGCTGTCTGCCTACATAAGATATACGTGCACCAATTTTATTAGTGCCTTCTTCTTACTACTGATTCCCCCTTTCTATCAGTTTGCCTGTTCCTTTGGGATGAATAGCTTAGATTTAAGAACTTGGGTCTGACTCTGGCACCTTTACATAAGCAGATGTTCCAGTAGAGCCTACTTGTATGTAGTGCCTTTAAATACAGAATTTGTAATCAAAGTTTTTTTTCAAATAGTACGTAAAATTTTTTTCAATTACTTGTTCCAGTTTGTCTCCCTGACCACGTGCACTATTTGCATCTCTATTCTTCACTCATTTTGTTTACATTTAATATTTCATTGAGCGACTTCTTTTTTTTCAAGATGTGTAGACTGGTTGCCTTTCTAGAATTTGGGTTAATGATTACCATTTCATTGGAAGCTGATAGCGTAGAGGCAGAAGTCTGTTTACATATTCCAAAGGATTTGTCACATCCTGTGTGCAGTTTAAATCTTTCTGGTGTCTTTTATCTATTGCTGCTGTGTATCATTTCCCCGTCTTGCTTATTTGTATGATTTTTTTTCTTAAAATGTTTTAGTTATTCAAAATAGCTAGCATTAAAACAAAAACTAAAAATGAAAAATTAAAACTCTAAAGGTTATTATCAGGTAGAGTCTCTGATTTGAATTCTGGAATTTTAAAGACACTTGCAAAGTCAGGAGCTCCACCTGTTGTGAAATCTTCCTCAGTAATATCTTTGCCTGCCTATTTAGGTGGAGGCCCTGCAAGCTCAGATAGAAGAACAGACACGATTATCTAAGGAACAGCTTCAGGCATTACTAGAGGACAGGCGGATTCACATGGAAGAAGCCCAGGTCCAGCATCAGAGAGACCAGGAGAAGATTAAAACTTTAACAGATAAGTGAGTGTGAGAGAATGGCTATGATGTAATATAGTCATGAGATGAGAAGAGAGGAAACAACAAAACTGTGTTGGCTTTCAATATGTTGCTTGCTGAAGCAAGCAGAAAAGCACTTTGTGCAGCTATTGGCCTTGGCAGTATGTGGAAGTAGATGGAGTAGTCAACATACCAGAAAAACTGTTTTGTATAGTATATCTTTCATGAGATGAGAAGAGCTAAGTATGCTGGGGAAAATGCTTGTATTTTTGTTGTCTGCTTTCTTCTGACTTGCAACGAAGACTGGGGCAATTAGGGTACGAACTAGGCAGGAAATGAACTAAATCCTCGTGGATCTCTTTTTATAGACTCAACAAAACTCAAAATCTCTTGTATGAGAGTACTCGTGACTTTCTGCAGCTGAAGTCTGATGTTCGAGACAGTGAGAAAGCGTGGATGGTAGAGAAGGAAAATCTGTTGAGGAGGATTGACAAAGACTCAGATCAGCTTATCAGCAGGGAGGCAGGAGAGAAGAAGCAGAGAGATACCAAGAAGGTGCTTCAAGCAGATCGTGAAGCTGGGAAGCCCCACAGTAGAGAAGTAAAGGTAATTGTATTTTTTTGCCCAGGGAGGCTCTCCAGCAGTCTTTCCAAAATTGCAAGACTGGTTCTTGCCAAGTTAGGCAGTAAGTAGTTGTTTCAAAGCTCTACTGGCTTGCTCTAAGTTGCATTGTTGTTGACACTAATGTGTTTAAAAATACTGAATCTGGAGTACTGCATCCAGTTTTGGGCTCCCCAGTACAAAAAAGACAAGGATCTCTTGGAAAGGGTCCAGCGGAGGGCCACAAAGATGGTAAAGGGCCTGGAGCATCTCTCCTATGAAGAAAGGCTGAGTGAACTGGGTCTGTTCAGCCTTGAGAAAAGGAAACTGAGAGGGGACCTGATCCAGGTCTATAAATATCTAAGGTGTGGGGGGAAGAATGGCGAGGCCGGACTTTCAGTGGTGAGTGGAGACAGAAGTGAACAGAGTGTTGTCAGAAGTGAGTAGTCCTTTCAATTGGTGTACCTTAGCTCTTTTATAGTAGTCTGGATTTTCCTTCCCCTTCTAATACACTTCCAGTGCACAGTTGAGAGATCTGTAGGCAAAGTGGGCAAAGAGGCAGTAAGAATGTAGAAAATAGACAGACAGTAAGGAATTGTTTTCATCTATGCTGAATGCAGATTCTTCTGAAATGCAGTACTGAGCAAGTAGCTGTGAAAAGGAGAGCTGCAGACTATGATAGAATATTATGTTTAAGGGAAAGAGGAGAGAGTTCTTTGAGCTGTCGTGCAAAACTGATAACCTCATTAAAAGGTGTTGGTAATGGAAGTGGCATTATAATACTGTGGAAGGAGTCCTAACCTTGTTACTTCCATAGCTTTGCTTTCAGTTATTTGCCTGTCAGTCTATCTACATGTAGCACTTGTTTTTCTAGAGCAGGAGAAACATTGTGAGCGCTGGCTTTGGAGTTGTTTCTGTTCCTTCTGTGTCTTAGACGCTGCAAGAAGAACTAACGCAGGAGCAGCGGCTGTCAAACATGTACAGAGAACAGTGTATCACCCTGGAAAGTGAGCTGGCTAGGATTTGTGAAGAGAGAGATGTTGGCAGAGAACTCTTTAAGGTAATTAGTCTGTAGCCATCGACTAGCAGCGCGATGATCTTACCGTCTCTGTTGTGTTACTCCATCAAGTTTTCATCTCGATAGGAACGCTCAGAAAAGATGGGGAAGCGTTTGAAGCTGGTGACTCAGCGATACGAGGCCTTGGAAAGACGTCGTAATATGGAAGTGGAAGGCTTTAAGAATGACATTAAACAGCTCCGGCAGAAACTGAAAGATGTAGAGAAGCAGCTTTTCAAGGTAATAGCTCATTGCTAATTGCTATGGGCTTAACCAATCAAGGTGTAGCCTCAGTATTTGAATTAAGATTTCCCTAGAGTTAAAATAAATGTATTTTCTAAATGGTTGTTCAAATATTAATATTTGATAAAGCTTGTCCTGTTCTGTATATTATTAAGCAAAAAAGATTTGTCATCATTAATCAGTTGAGCATCAAGTTTGTCCAGGAACAGTCCTGTTCATGCATTAGCTATGAAGGTTCTCATAGAATCATTGAATGGCTTGGGTTGAAAAGGACCACAACGATCACCTATTTTCAACCCCCTGCTATGTGCAGGGTCACCAACCACCAGACCAGGCTGCCCAGAGCCACATCCAGCCTGGCCTTGAATGCCTCCAGGGATGGGGCATCCACAGCCTCCTCGGGCAACCTTCCAGTGTGTCACCACCCTCTGTGTGAAAAACTGCCTCCTAATATCTAACGTAAACCTCTTCTGTGTCAGTTTAAATCTCCCCTTGTCCTATCACTATCCACCCTCATAAACTGTCATTCCCCCTCCTATTTAAACATTCCCTTCAAGCACTGGAAGGCCATAATGAAGTCTCCCCGGAGCCTTCTCTTCTCCTTCCACAATCTTGTAATGCCTTATTATGCCTTATTACACCTTTGGCTCATTCAGTGGACTCAAAATTGGAAGGCAGTAAAGTGGACTGATGCAAAAGAATGTTCTGCAAAGAATATGCTGTTTTGTTGTGGTTTTTTTTTTCTGGATGCAGTAGGGTTTGGTTTTGTTCCAAATAGAATATTGATGGAATATTGATGTAAGTATTGTGAATATTGTTTATTTTGTAAATATATCATTTGCAGCAGAAGCAATGACTGGAAGTTGAGGTTGTGTAACTTGGAAATAAGATGAGATGCATTTTCTAGATGTGCAGACGAACATCTGTACAGCTTAGAAAGGAAGCCACAGACTTGATGTTGTCTGGAGTTTGAGTTATGATATCTAAGATATGATTCAGAGAATTGAGGCTTGGACTTTTTTTTTTTTAACTGTGGGTTTACTTTTTTTCTTTTTAAGAGCTAAACTTCCCACATATGTGCATGTGGGAGACAGGAATTGCCTATGATATCTTTACTACAGACCTGTGTATTTTGTTACTGTGGGTATGCTTAGTTGTGTTCATAATCTCTTCACACTTCCAACCACAAGAGGGCAGCGGAATAAAATACTTGTTAGAAATCTTCCCTGATCTTTAAATCCTTCTTATCACTTGAGGTCAAAGTGGCTATAGATGACTGAATGACCTAACCTGTGTATTAAAATCTTTGACAAAGAACTACGTGGTGGCAATGAGACACCCTAAAATGTCAAGAGGAAAGAGGGCTTTACGATCAGTTTTCAAGTCTGTGCTGTTGCGATGTTGAATGTGACTGGGCTGGCATGCTATTCAGTTCCAGGGTGACAGGAAATGTCAACCCTTTCTAGTTTGCCGTCAGGAACTACGATAATCCAACAGCCTCAGTTCAGCTCAATATCAGCTATATGCCTTGACCTGAGCTTAGGAGTTGTTCTTGAGCTGCCCTTGAGTTGTATGCAGTTCAGAAGGCAGCAAGCTGGCCACAGCAGTTAGATCATTTCTAGTTCTAATAGCAGAAGGTGACAAAATGTCTTCATAAGAGGGGAAAAACACACTGCTGTATAAACATCAATAAGTAAATGTTTTAACTCTCCTCATTTTATTCTCTAAATAATGCAGGCAGTAAAAAGTAACCCAACGAGTTACAGTAAACTTGATAATATTCTGTTGAGATTTCTTCCTTACCAGTACTGTAGCATCCTAATGAATGAAAGGCTTTGCTACTTTGGCTCTGAAATAACTTTCTGTTGGTGACATGCATTAGCCTACTGACATTAGCTGAAGAGCATCTTCTTTGCTAGCAACAAAAGGTCTCCTTTGGAATGATCTTTCTCATATACTCATAGTATACTTTCAATTGTACTCTGTGCAATTAATTTGTTTTTCTTTTCTTCTTAGGTGACTCTGAATATTGGACCAGACCAGGATCTTGCAATTCTACATGAGGTTCGTCAAGGAAACAGACTAACTCGTAAAATTCAAGAAGAATTAAAATACTTAAAAGCAAAAATCTATGGCTTAGAGAATGAACTGCGAGTCTGCTGAAACTGAGGTTTTAGTTGGCATCAAAGTTTTTGGAATGGGACATTGCCTGTTTACTGGCATCCAGTAATAGAAGGCTTGAAGAAATCTGCAGTTAGGAACATCATAACATCCATCAGTGATATACAAGCCATTCCTAACATGCCAAACTAGATTGCTGTGTCTGTTGATAGGCACCTGATGAGTCTGCTATAGAAAGTATCAGAAGACTGATACATCAGGAACATTCTTATGCCTTTTATTACTTTCATATTTGTGGTGTAGGGAGTGGTGTATACTGATCTTAAACTTCATTTGGAGCATTTCAGAAAGCAGGAATAAATTAATGGCCATTAAAAGATCTAGTTCAAGATCTGAATTGCTTGGCTCACCTTTTCCTATGTGAGAAAGAGCTTTTAAAGTGTGTTCAGTGATGACTGTTTTAGTACCTAGGCAATTCAGGATGTAACTGGAAATTTTCTTTGAAAAAGACCTTGCACAGATCTTTTGTACTAATTTTGTATTAAGATGTATTATATCCAACTCTGCTTTTTACAATACGACTACTTTTAAATAGCTTCCCTTTGATTATTTCTAACCCAGCTGGGACAAACCTGACTGATTTTAATATGGCGAAAAAAGATAACATTTTATGGCACTTATCTGCAAGAATGAGCAATGTCTACTCTTGTTTTGAATAGCTGGGGGAAGTGAGATACCACACTATCAAGAATCATCTTCCCATCTCCTTTTTTTCTAGCCTCTTGACTCCTGCAGGAAGCTCATTTAGAAAAAAAAACAGGGCACATACTATCTTCCTTAGTCACTATTATCGGCCTCTGTAGCTTTAAACTATACTATGGTTATGTACCAAGTCACGATCACTTTTCACTCATGATGGTTTTGTTTCACAGTTGTAACTGAAATTGGGGTTGAAGAGCAGCTGCCTAGTTGCTACGTGATGTATATAGCTATATAATGATTATCTCCATAGCAGGCATAAGGTTATTGCAGTTGTAGAAAACAGATGAAATAATGAGGGATGCTACAGTGGGCTTCAGCCCAGTTTCTAATCACAAGGTATTTGTGCTTTCACTGCAGTGTCAGCAAATCTTGTCCACCTGGTAGACTGAGAGTATGCCTGTGCTAGAAAAGCAATTTCAGGGCTTAAGTTTCCTACTGTACCTTTTTCTACCTTAAATATGGCAGAAGCAGCGTATCATCTTTCTAAAGAATACACCTGAAGCATACCAGCTGTTTCTTATTTTAAAAAGTACTCCATGTGATAGCCCACAGCTTCTTTTGGATGTGGTAGTGGCAATGGAGATCCCCATTCAGTATTTGGGAGAGGTAGATACACAACAGAAGTTCTTGTGCTGTCAAAATTTGAAGAAATAGATACATTTTTTTAATACAGTACCAGCTAAAACAATACACTGGGGAAATTGCTTTGAAAAGTCAAGGCCTGCTTCAGTTTTGTACCCTGTCTTGGAAATTTTGCTGTCCCTTATGGTCCTACACTGTGGCTTTCATTGGGCACATGTATTCTTGAAGTCATATTCAGTCATATTGAAATCAGACAGACTTCACTGTGGGTAGATGTGTATCTGGGTGCTTAGCCACTACTAAAATAGGCTCTTTTAAAGTGTATTATCACTGACTAGTTTAGCTAAAAAATGGTGATCCTGTTCAGAAACTGATTCGTGGACAGCTTAGATGCCAATGCCATGTGGATAGCTGGGGGAAGTTAATAAACTTATGCTGTCCATAATTTAGTCTCATCCCTTAGCTGCTGAATACTATCTCAGATAAGTCTAGCTAATTAAAGGAAGCTTGTATGGGAGATAATATTCTACCAGTCTGAAAACAGAATACTGTATATTATATATATATATATATATATGTATATATTTTAAAGGTCCTGAAAGGCAACTTCTGAAAAAATGCTATATAATAAAGTATTAGCCACTTAGCAAGATCCATCTGCTTAAATTCAATTGACAGGAAGCCAGCAAAAAAGCCTCTTGAACCAGTATAGAGAAGTTTTCTGCTTCTTTTCAGCTTTTCCAAACTATAAGTTGCTGATTAAGTTAAATTTTCCTCACTTGAAAGCCATGCAGTGTATCTGGATAAAGACTGTAGGCTCGAATGTTCACATTTTTAGCATTAGGAAGAAGTATTGGGGAAAGAAGGATGTAAATGTTTAAGTTCCTGTCTTCCTTACTAATATTTCTTATTACTTGAAAGACTGAACAGAATAAACTGGCAACATTCGTAATATTTGCTGGTGCTTCTGGATCAATGTACATCTTGGACTTTATTCTTTGTCATTAGGTTATGAACCTTTCCTATTTGAGTTGGGTAGGGGAAGAAATTACAATAGTGCTGACCTGTGAGTTTGTTTTATTTGTAGGTTGAATGTTTGTCCAAGGGCAGGAAGTGCAGAGTATTGCATGTGCTTTTTCTGTGTGACATCATGTGATTATGTGAAATGTTGCTTTCATGTTGCCAAAACAAATGGGGACCTTCAGGCCAACAACTGCTTTAAAAAGTCAAGTACTTTCTACCACCTGCAACTGCCTTTTAAGACGTTTTTGGCATTTCCCAGAGGTTTCCTGAAAAAGGTTCTGAGCCCTGGGTTAGTCCATTTTCCATCATTTGCTCCAAAGGTGAGCTTTTTGGCCAGTTGATGTGAATGTGTGATCTGTATCATTTCAATACAACTAAGTGCCGTGTTATGTAGGTGCAAACAATTTGTAACCTACCTCTCAAGTGGCTGACTCTTGGAATATGGAGACAGTCCAAGGATTAAGGATTGGAACTGGACAAACAAGCTTATTGGGGACTGGGGTGCAAAAGTGTTGCACACAGGGGAAATGTGAGCGGAAGGTGAAAACAAGTTGTGTAGCATTACTTAGGAGTGCGTGTGTTTTAGAAAGGGTGTTGGGCAAGGCACAGAACTAAAGATGATTTAGCAGAGATGAGAAGGTTGTGTAAGAGCTCATACTGTATTTCATTAGGGCTGATTAATATACATGTACAGTGATGAAAAACTACCAGAGGCCTCTTTATCTTAGCAGAGAGGCTGAGCAAGAACAAGTAGCTTGACCCTGGAGATTCAATGTAAAAAAGAAAAAAGAGCACATTTGATCAGAAAGATGGTTCTTTTTCTTTCATTATGACAAACTACTTCTGGAGATAATGAATTCTCTGTCTCTGAAACAAAACACAACAAAAAAAAGATTGTGCCTCTGGAAAAGATGACTTGTTTTAATAAGTTACCAGGCTTGACGTGTTGGACCGTAATGAAATATAATGATGTGAAATAACAGGAAATGATTTAATGGTCCCTTATGCCTTTAGAGATAGGATTATTATTTTTTTTTTTGTGTGGGCAATATTAGTAGGGGTTTTTTCAGCACTTGTTCTACTGCTTTTATTATAGGAAAGTATACTGTGTCAGCTTGCCCTACACAGCAAGGTTACAAAAGGAGGAGAAAAGAACAACCCATGTAACCTCACGTTTTTCCTATACCATAATTTGAGTGTAATTAATCATTGCTTTTAGAATGGACCTAAATAATAAGAATATATGCTCACATGCAACTTAAGTTGCTTGCATTTGTGTTCAAAGACACGTTTTGTCAGTATGGGTGGACTCAGAAGGGCTGATAACAGCAGGACTAGGGGAAATGGTTTTAAGTTGAAGGAGGGAAGATTTAGGTTGGATGTTAGGGGGAAGTTCTTTACTAGGAGAGTGGTTAGGCCCTGGAACGGGCTGCCCAGGGAGGTTGTGGATGCCCCGTCCTTGGACGTGTTTAAGGCCAGGTTGGACGGGGTCCTGGGCAACCTGATCTGAATGTGTATGTTTGGTGGCCCTGCTAGGCAGGGGGGTTGGAACTACATGATCCTTGGGGTCCCTTCCAACCCGGGTGATTCTGTGATTCTGTGTGTGTGTGTGACTCTCTGGGCACCTAATCTGGAATTGTAATGCCTCTGTACATAGGCCAGGAAGTATTTCTTTGGTAAATGAGACACTTGTTTTTGAGACTAGCTGGGAGCAACATCCAGTGCATTTTGTTAGATCAGTTCTATCATGAACTGATGAAAACTATGTTGGTCAGACTTTTCATTACAGCTCACAAATACATCTAGTTTTGCGACACTGGAACATATTCATGCCTGCTTAGTCAAAATCTGACTAAAGATGTCACTTCTGTACCCATTCAAAGCAGCATAACAGCTCATTTGCATATAAGGGACATTTTAAGATTTTTCTTTTTACTGTTTTTTGGTAACGCTTTGCTTTCATATTCCGAGGTTGTAATAAATGCTCACTTTGCTCCCTTAAAAAGCTGTTCTTACACTTGCAAGTCTAGCTGTAGAAGCACACTGCTAGCATGTGTACCAAAACACACTCAGATGCTTTGTAGAAGGGACGAGAGCTGAAAGTGCAGCAACTCCTGATGGCTGCATTCATAGGCCTTAATGTAAGGAACAAAAACTTTCAATCTTTAGGTAGCATCAATTCTTTAGGGTTTTTTTTTTTTTTTTTTTTGAGACATGCCATAGGTGTAACTGGAATTTAACCTACTGGGGGGAAATGCTTCTGGCATGAGAATAGTGGGGATGGAGTTCTGATGCTGGCCATGTGGTACCAAATTAACTATTTGCAGAAAGGATGTCTCTGAGCAGGAGTTAGTGTGGCTGTGCTTCAAGTAAGCTCCAAACGCAGCTTTATTAATGAGGCCCTCAGAAGGGCTGAGCATTCACTTAGGCTAAATTGCATGTTTTATGAATTACGATGCTGTTGGATCGTGGACAAATTACACATGTGTAAATAGGGATTACCTGCTTTGATTCAGAAAACCCACAGAGGCTTTCTATGTACCAGCCAGTTTCAATGTCAAAGCAAGGAAATCTTAACTGCTCCGTTAGGAAGGGCTTAATTGCTGAAATGGGTTCAATTTGAATAAAAAGCTCTGGATTTACCCTGGTGAAGCACATCCAGGATGTGCTGAATTCTCCTATATTGATTCAGGGATCAAATTGACTCTCTTTCAGTGTAAACATTTATCTCAGCAATGAGTCACTCCCAGACTGCTCAGTAAAACACTCTTTCCCTTTAGCGCTAGCTTGGCTGGGGAAAGGTCTGATCAGCATCGTCCCAGGGGAAGATGTTTGGCTTTATGCTCAGTGGTGTCCATAATAAAATGACTGTGGCGTATCTTCAGAGCTCCTCTGAAACATAAGGGTGATGAGCAAGATCACTTAAATTATAAAGCAAGTCCTCGTACTTTTAAGAAAGGAAAGGAGAAAGGTCAGGAAAAATTATAGTCAGATTTGAAGAGAGGTGGATGTCCAAAATGACCATAGACTTAGATGTGTCTCTCATTATGATAAATCCTAAAAAGTCTTTTGAAAGATCTCACCTTGGACTAGGTAATTTTTTTTTCTTTTTTCTGAAAGTGCAAACGTGCTGTGAATATTGAGAGAGTTCTGAGGCTCAGAAGGCAGTTGAGGCCCATTCCTAGGGCAGGATGGATATCAAGGATATGTTCCTCGAGGCACTGGGCTGCATGCAAGGTCACACCAAAATGTGTCCTCTTCGCAGCTGAGGAGGAAGGCCGGGGTCATTTCTATGCCATTTTGTCTGCACAACTAGGATTTGAGATGTATTAAAAGTTACGCTGTGAAAAGACAGAAGCATGGGTGAGGTTTCCTACCCAGACAGCAGAGCTGCAGGAAGACAGTGGTGTGACTGCTACTGCTGTCAGTCACACCTGGGCTGTCACTGCAGGTCAAAAAGGTGCTTTTGCCAAGAGTTTAACTGAGGAACCAGTGGATTCTGCTGCTGTGCTGCAAAGCATCAGTGTGGATTTTACCAGCATAGCCTATCAGCAACACGTTTATAGAGTCCAGTACCAAAAAGCCAAGAGGGGAAATAATGGGCAACAGCATCTTCAGAACTGCCTTTTCTGCTAGAAGCACTTCAGCCATTTCAGGTACAAATGTTGAGATGAAGTCAGGAATTGTGCTTGAGAGCGTGGCTGTGGGCAGCAGGGAGGCCCTGCAGTTACCAGGGCTGGTGATGGTAAAGGATGCTTGGGTGTACTGGGTGCGGGGCTGGTAATTGGTGTTAACATGAAAGTTACATGGGAAGAAAAAAGGAAAGGAGCAAGAGGCAGATAATTGAACCTTTGGGGAGATTGCAGAGAAAGGATGTTGGCACAGAGCTAAAAGTAACTTACAGAACAGAGAAACAGTTGTTAGATAACCAAAGGCACAAGTGTAATAGAACAAGGGAGGGATGCGCAGCCGGAGAGGAACAGGAGATGCATGTCCTTAAGTGTTGTATTACTGTGGGGAAACACAGCCAAAATGGACAATAAACAAAACCCCAAGCAAAGCACAAAATACCTTGTTGATAGAACTAGTGGATGCTCACTGAGAATGCCCAGCGTGAAGAGGGTGCTCTGGGTAGGCAGTCCCTTTGTTAGTGTAGAGTTTCCTTTCCATTTCCCTCCATACAACCAGAGAATTGCATGCTTATTTATTTTAATATGCAAACAAGTTCCAACAGTGCAGTTGTTGGACAGGAGAAGTGTCCCTCTCTAGTTTCTGTAGTCTTGCTTCAAGCCATGTCCCAGTGGCCAGGCAGTGCCTGGTTTCACCTGCCCTGTCTGGGGATGGACAGATAGAGAATAAGTTTCCTTTTTCTGAGCACAGAATTGTTTGAGTTGGAAGGCCATCTGGTCCAACCTCCCTGCAGTGAACAGGGACACCCACAGGTAGATCAGGTTGCTCAGAGCCCCGTCCAGCCTGATCTTGGGTGTCACCAGAGATGGGGCATCCACCACTTCTCTGGGCAGCCTGTTCCAGTGCCTCACTACCCAGACTGTAAAAAGCTTCTTCCTTACATCCAATCTAAATCTTCCCTCTTTCAGTTTGAAATCATTTCCTCTCGTCCAGTCACAATAGACACTGCTAAAAAGTCAGTCCCTTCTTTCTTACAGCCCCCCTTTTAGGTACTTTCAGGTACTTGGAGCCTTCTCCATGCTGAACAAACCCAGCTCTCATCCTGTCCTCATGGGAGAGGTGTTCCACTTCTGGGATCATTTTTGCGGCCCTCCTCTGGATGCGCTCCAACAGGTCCCTGTCTGTCCCGTACCGAGGAGTCCACATCTAGATGCAGTGCTCCAGCGCTGTCTCAGCAGCGCAGAGCGAAGAGGCAGGTTAGCACCTCCCAGAGATGTCAGCTATCATCCCCCAGCTCCG